GTGGCTGTGCTGCGCCTTCCTCCGTCACCGCTGCCGCCATGCCCGGAGGTCTCCTTCTCGGGGACGAGGCTCCCAATTTCGAGGCCAATACGACCGTCGGCCGCATCCGTTTCCACGACTTTCTGGGAGACTCGTAAGTGGCCACCCCGTCGCCCTGCCCTGGCCTCGGGCTGCGCTCCCATCTGAAGGTGTCTCCCCTGCGTCTTCTCCCTTCGTCCTCCGGCCTCTCGGTGCCTGCCCGCCGCCACCTCCCCGCACCGGTCCTGCACGTGCCTCTCACTGTGCGTCCCCTGCCCCGCGGCGGCCACTGGGTTCCCTCCCGTGTCCCGCCTCAGCATGGCCAGCCTGGCTCCAGGCGGGGAAGGGGGAGGGGAAAGAAATTGGGTTTCCGCAGGTCCCGGGACCCGGAGCGCGGTGCGGAGCAGGGTTTGTTGCTGTTTAACTCGGTTTGTAAATTGTGCAAGTGGCACGTCCAGCCAGGCCCGGTGGGGACTGAAACGGGCGGCCTCGGCGGTCACCTCCCGGGACTACTGCCTGGTCTCGGCCGCCTCCCTCCCTCTGTTCTGGAACTTGCTCCGGGGGAAGGTGGGTGTGAGTCCGGGGACTGCTGCTGGCAGAAGGGCTCTGCCTGCTGCCTGGGATTGGCAGGCTTCTCGGCGCAAAATGTAAAGTTTAAAGCCACCAGCTGCCGGATAAGTGGCCGGAAGACTTTTTGGCCACAGCCTCCTTCAGTGGCCAGGATAAGATTTGATAAGAACTTTGGGAGGAACCAAGAACACTCTGTGCATAGGTGTGTCCTTCATTCCAGAGCTTGCAACACTGTGAGGGAAGGGCTTTCTGAGGCTGTCCAGTTGCAGCGACCTCTTCTTGCCAGGACACATGTACCTCTGCTCGCTGTGACCCTTTGTTTCCCAGTGGTGTGCCCCTCCCCCTCGCCTTGCTTCCAGCAGCACATGGCCTGGCTAGAGCGATGCAAATTGGTGACCTGTTAGCTGGCAATCATACCATCATGACTAGGAGTAAATTGCTGTCACCTTGGTTTTATAGCTCCTGGATCTGCAGACGTTAAGTTGCTCAGTTTCAATCAGAAACTTCCCCAGACATGTCTAGTTACATGATGGTTCTGGAGTTCAGGAGCCCTGTGGTCTTCTGAGGCTTAACAATTCCTCTCTGGGTTTGAATCCTTTTATATGTGGTATCCAGGTATGTATATAGAGAGAGAAGGAAGTTTTTGAGATTAACCAATGATTGGACAGGGCTGTTCAGAGAACCTGGGAGAGACTCTATACCTTAGGCCCGTGGTCAGCAAACTGCGGCTCGCGATCCACATGCGGCTCTTTGGCCCCTTGAGTGTGGCTCTTCCCTAAGCCTTAGGAGTACCCTAATTAAGTTAATAACAATGTACCTACCTATATAGTTTAAGTTTAAAAAATTTGGCTCTCAAAAGAAATTTCAGTCGTTGTACTGTTGATATTTGGCTCTGTTGGCTAATGAGTTTGCCAACCACTGCTAGGGCTACCCAACCCCTTACAACTCTAAGCCCATTTTCAGCCTCTCATCAAGGGAACAGTTTGTGAAAGAGAGGGCTCAACTAGAAAATGATGAGAAATGGAACATTCGGACCCTGAAGGCAGGAAAAGGCTTCAGAAACACAGACCAAGGCCAGTCTATACTCAGAATCTAGGTATTAGCATTTCTCCAAAACCCCATGGTATTTTTCAGAGTATGTTCCTTCCCATTCCACTCTCAGTCCTCACCCCCACACAGCATAGGAATCTTACCAGAACTCTTAGGCTGTATGAATTAAAGATAAATATTAACATAAAGCATAATTACTATAGCAATAAATATAAATGCTGTCACTACCTCAGCTAACTCCACTTTCTTGGGTTTTGTTGTTGTTGTCATCACCATAGTTTATTGGCCTCTAGATCTCTCTTGATTTGATTAAAAATGGTACCATCTCTGGGAACCACCAGTGGAAAGATGAGAAAAATACCCACATCTATAAAAGGCTATATAAACCCTGGCCAGTATGGCTCAGGTGGTTGAGCATCATCCGGTGCACTGAAAGTTGCTGGTTCGATTCCCAGTCATGGTACATACCTGGGTTGCAGGTTCGAAGTTGGGGTGCCACAGGTCAGGGTGCATTCTAAAGCAGCCGTGGGCAAACAACGGCCCGCGGGCTGGATCCGGCCTGTTTGAAATGCATAAAACTAAAAAAAAAAAAAAAAAGACCATACCCTTTTATGTAATGTTGTTTACTTTGAATTTATATTAGTTCACACAAACACTCCATCCATGCTTTTGTTCCGGCCCTCCCGTCCAGTTTAAGAACCCATTGTGGCCCTCGAGTCAAAAAGTTTGCCCACCCCTGTTCTAAAGGCAGCTGATCAGTATTTCTCTCACATTGATGTTTCTCTCTCTCCATCTTCCTCTCTCTCTAAAATCAGTAAAAGTATGTATTTTTTTAAAAGGCTGTACAAGTCGGCCCCACCCCCAAATGACATTTGAGCTCTTTAAGTCATTATAGTAATGGATTTTTGCCTAATATAATATTTTCCAAACTCCATTCTGTATTCAGACTGTCAATATTTGTTTCGGGTGTTGTTTTTTTTTGGGGGGGGGGGATTAAAATAACCATAAAATTTCACAGGCATCTACTCCATCCCTCTCCACTCCCCCAGATAATGAGATACAACTAAGAGGTTTGGGGACTGTGTTTGGTGAGTTTATTGAGCCTTAATCACTGTTTCTTTACGTATGTGGTGTAAGCAGCTTCACAGCTTTTTCACTAAACAAAAACGTGTGTTTTCCTGAAGTTTTCTGGGGGGTTAGTGAGAAGGGACTGTTCCCTTAAAGGAGGAAACCTATTGTCTTTTGAAAATGAGGAAGGAAGGAAATGGGATCGTGTAATTAACTCTCACCAGCAGCAGTGGGGAGACTCTGAAGGGAAGGCAGGCCACAGTCAGACATGCCAGAGTTTATTCCTATTCCTAGCTGAGTGGTAAACTGGAGTTTGGCTTCTCGGAAAGAGAGAGGGTGTGAAGTGACTCAGAGAAATGGTCTCTTGACTGGAAATGGAAGGAAAACGCCTGAGTTGCCTAATTCATCACCCCGTTAACATTTCTTCTCAAAAGTCTCGTCTGAACCCTAAACAGACAGATCCTTTTCCATAGAATCTAAGGCCTACATTTTACTCAAAGCTACATTATTACAAAAGATATATATACCCCTTGTTGCCCTTTTAAAAAAGTAGACCTACCACACACCTCCACAGTGTTAAAGATATTACCTTCCTTCCCAGTCTTTCCATAGCATCCTCCATCCTTTTTGTAAGAAAGTCTTTTCCTTTCCCGAAGCCTTGGAGTTGAGTGACAGATGTGAGTGGAAGGGGGTATCTTCATTTCTGCTCTGTTTTTGTGCTTCGGGGAACTTGGCAAACTTGGTGAGCTCAGCTTGGCATCTAAGCTAGGTCTAGTCATCTAGGTTAGGGTCCTGCTATAATTTTGTAAGCCCCTGGGAGTGTGGAAAACCGAGTGTTAAATTTCCCTTTTCTGTAGAGAGTAGTTTCCATGGTCACCAAAGAGAAGGAACTGGGACTCCAAAGATTCTTGGTGGCTCAGCTTAAAGCGTGCTTAAAATCTCTACAAGTTTAACTACAGGCAGTGATGCTCTAGATAATAGTATTTACCTAAAAATCTGTAGTTCTAGAATCTCCATTGTAGTTTATCAGGTTTCTACCTACTTGGTCTGAAGCAAGAAGAAAAAGAAACCACAAATGAAGAGATAGGTAAAATTCTCTTTGAGACACCATGGAGGGACCTGGAGAGTATCGTGCTAAGTGAAATAAGCCAGTCAGAGAAAGACAAGTATCATGTGATCTCACTCATATGTGGGATCTAATGAAGAAAATAGGTCCAGAGACATAGAAGCTTGGAACAGACTGTCAATCTCAGAGGGAAGGCAGGGATGGGTGGGAAGAGATTAACCAAAGAACTTGTATGCATATATCATAACCCATAGACACAGACAATAGTGTGGAAGGCCGGAGGGTGGGGGGGCAATTAGAAGGGGTCAATGGGGGGGGGAAGGGAACATATGTAATACTTTCAACAATAAAGTTTTTTTGTTACTTTTGTTTGTTTTTAAAGCTGTGACAGCTAAAAAAAAGAGAGATAGATAAAATTCTGAGAGTGCTGTTTTGTCAAGGTGCAAATATTGGGTGTCCTGTAAAGCTGTCTTATAAAAGGTTTCATAGCCATTCACTTCAAAGAAGCCACATGACAACTTTAATTTTACATATAAATAGAGGATACCAGCCTATTTATTTTAGATTACATAATCTGTTTATTCTTGTAATCAGCTGTCCGCTTGGATTCAGAGACTTTGGGAACACCCGTTATTGGAGCTGAATGTTGGGCTGTGGTTAGGGAAAAAAAATAAAGAAGAGGGCAAGAAGAAAATAAGTTATTTTAATAAGCTACTTGGTTTGAGTAGCACAGGTTTTATTAGTTGAAAAGGAGTCAGGATGGCTCAAAAGAGGCAACACCCTTAAATTAGTCTTTTAAAACATTTGTCATCTTGATTGTAAGCATTCATTTTTTGAAAGAACATCATTTTTTACCTCAGATTTGTGACTTCCCATTCTGCCTGCTGTTGGTGATAACCTTGTCATTCAGTTGTGACCTTTGCCTCCATTGCAGATGGGGTATCCTCTTCTCCCACCCTCGGGACTTCACCCCGGTGTGTACCACAGAGCTTGGCAGAGCTGCAAAGCTGGCACCTGAATTTGCCAAGAGGAACGTTAAGCTGATTGCCCTTTCAATAGACAGTGTTGAAGACCATCTTGCCTGGAGCAAGGTAACGTTTCTGTGGCTGTGCTTTGAGGTTACAAATTGCAGAGTAGAAATAAATGAAGTTTTACTGGAGGGGGTGAAAGAGAGGACGCAAGTACATCCTTGTCCTTTAGTTCAGACTTGAAATGCTTTGTTTTCTATGTAGAGTTCACTCTGGTGATTTAACTTTGACTTGTCCTTGAAGTCTGTGTTCAACTCTCCGTTCTTATATTTCCTTTGAGTTTTGTGTTCTGTTTTGTTTTTGTTTTTTAAATATCTCTCTTCTGGTAGCTTAATGTCTGAGTCAGGGTGTTTTTGAGGCAGGGATCAGATCTATAAAATTATCTTTGCATGTGGCGTTGTTTCCAGATGTGATGGACTTAAGGAATGCATTATTTCTGATGGTTTTTATATTTGGAAACCCAGAGGTACCTTGGATTGGTATCTGATACTATACTATTCGGCTTTTAAAGAGGTTATTGCTGCTTTCTTAACGCAGTAAAAACCAGCTGCATTTTAACAGCCTTGGGCATGAAAAGAGTCTGTGCTTAGCCATGGCGAAGTGGCTCAGTTCATTGGGCGTCATCCCATATATTGAAAGGCTGCGAATTTGATTCCTGGCCAGGGCACATACCTAGATTACAGGTTCAATACCCAGTCAGGGCTTGTGCAGAAAGTAAAGGATTGATGTTTCTCACATCAGAGTTTCTCCCCCCGCCCCCTTTAAAATCAATAAACATATCCTCGGGTGAGGATTTAAAAAGAAGAAAGAAAAGGGCTATGCTTATAACCTAAATATAATACCCTATTGCTCTTCCTATCAATGAATAATTGGGATGGGGAGTGTTCGTTCATTTATTAAAATTGCTTAGAGAAATTACTATGATTATGGTCCTCTTCTCTGTCTTGCAAAAGGATGGCTGTTAACAGATTGAATTCAGAGGATGTGCCTGGTTTAGATTTCTCTTTCCCCTTTGACCTGCATTCTAGGATATCAATGCTTACAACTGTGAGGAGCCCACAGAAAAGTTACCTTTTCCCATCATTGATGACCGGAATCGGGACCTCGCCATCCTGTTGGGCATGCTGGACCCAGCAGAGAAGGACGAGAAGGGCATGCCTGTGACGGCGCGTGTGGTGAGTTATCGAAGTCCATTCTGGAGTCCTCATGACTGCCAGGCTATAATCCATGTAAATGCTTGGAGCACCTAGAGCAGCGGTTCTCAACCTGTGGGTCAAACAACCCTTTCACAGGGGTCGCCTAAGACCACCGGAAAACACATGTATAATTACATATTGTTTTTGTGATTAATCACTATGCTTTAATTATGTTCAATTTGTAACAATGAAATTGGGGGTCACCACAACATGAGGAACTGTATTAAAGGGTCTCGGCATTAGGAAGGTTGAGAACCATTGACCTAGAGGAAATAGGCGAATATATGTTAATGTCTACATATTTCCTCAGGGAAATAACTGTACTGGTAGCAATCTCACTGATTATGTGTAATGCTCATGCTAAATCTTCAGCTAAAATTTTAAACTGGGTAATTCATAGCTTATGGAAACCTACTTCTAGAATTGAGTAATCTTTCCTATATCTCTCCTGACAGCCTCTCTTTAATGGGTTGGGTCATGTCCTCCGTCCTTGGGCAGCTCTGGTTTTGAATTCTGGTTAGTTCTGTCCTGAAAACAAACTTAGTTCCTCATCTGCAAAAAATACAACTACGTGAGGGCCAGTATCCACTCCCATTAGTATTATTTTTATGATAATCACCCCTATTTAACATAGTACCAGCCAGAGCCCTTTCCTGGATTCAGTTTGCATGTCAGTTTTTCTTCAACCAGAACCAAATATTATCTCCTTTTAAGTGCAGAAAAATAACATGAACACTGATGTATACCTGAGGCTAATACAATACTATAGGTCATTGTAATCTGAAAGTTAAAAAAAATATATTTTTATAAAAAGGGAAATGACATGGAGAAGAAAAGTGTCTGGGTTCCTGCCCCACAATGACTTTTGGTGTGCCATTTTAGATATTGGGGAATTTTTTCGTTCGCTTTGTGTTTATACCTTTGAACATTTGTCATGACAGGCAAGCATTCCAAGAGGCTTTCATATCAAACAACTTGTCCTATTTAAGTGTCTGTGTGTTTACAGGTGTTTGTTTTTGGCCCTGATAAGAAACTGAAGCTGTCCCTTCTCTACCCCGCGACCACCGGCAGGAACTTTGACGAGATTCTCAGAGTAGTTATCTCTCTCCAGCTGACAGCAGAAAAGAGGGTTGCCACCCCGGTTGATTGGAAGGTAAAGATGCTGAAGGGCAGGTCCCCAGCGCACCTGAAAGGCCTGTGTGGCTAATGTCCAGTGGCCACCCTCGGGCTCTCTGTTTCCAGCACGCAAGTCCACTGGGAGGATTTTTCCTCATGGCTGAGTTTAAGATTTGCTGTTCAAGGTCTTTAACACTTATATATAAAACACAAACTCCCATGTTGCTTTCTAGCTTTTAGCTTATTTGGGCAGATTAATTGGTCAGAATGATTCCCTTTCATAATAAAAGGATTTTTTTTTAAACTTTAATCCTTCCCTGATGGCAAAATATTTACAATAAAACTTAGATTGGCCACTGAAGTCCTGGCTGTAAAACTTTTTGGTGTCTTACTGTCCTGAAAGTATTTTCTTCTCTTAAGCTTCATTAAACCTCTGTAGAATTCTGACACTTGTTTTCAAGCTTACAATCTCTAGGATTTCTGCAATATGTAAGACATGGATAATATCACAAGAATATTTTAATGTCGCTACATTTTTAAAAATATGCTAACCTGAATACCAGTTTTTGTTTTTCTGATAAGTATATCAGATAAAATGCTGTGTCCATTCCCTGAGCATACATTTATTGAGCCCAGATATAGCCATGAACAATAAAGTTCCAGACCTAGACTCACATTCCAGTGGTAGAGACAGACAATAAACTAGTTTATAGTGTATTAGGTGCTCGGAACAATGGGGAGTGGAGGGGAGAAGGGGAGTACCCAGGTGGGAAGGCTGGCTTTCTGCCTGGCTGTCAGGGGGGCCTAGTGCAGGAAGCTTTACCCGAGGGTGAGCGTGGCCTGTTGGAGGACCATGGTAAGTCAGAGAGCCTGGGGATCTAAAGTTCATTCTCGCCTTCAGGCTTTACCATTGGATTTCACCATTCTCCCTGTCTGTCTGTAGGTTGGAGATAGCGTGATGGTCCTCCCAACAATCCCTGAAGAGGAAGCCAAGAAACTCTTCCCTAAAGGAGTCTTCACCAAAGACCTCCCATCTGGCAAGAAGTACCTGCGCTACACGCCCCAGCCGTAGGTCTCACCCTGCACAGTGAGACAGCGGGTGCTGGCTGCCAATCATGTGTCCTACAGCGATTCCATAGAAACATCCCACTATGATCACAGCCACGGTCTCTAGGTTGCTGTCCTCCTGGCTTATTAAATGAAAATGGCACTAAACACCCCGTGGGATTCTTTGCTTCGTGCCTTCACCAGCATTCTGTTCTGTTCCCATGCCTCAGCCCTCTCTCCTGGCTCTCTGAAATACGGTCTGTATTTGAGACTCACATCATAGCGGATCTCTGCAGGTTTGTGATCAGCAACGTAGGATCCACTGATGGTTGAAAAGCTGCTTTGCTCCAGCCTGGAATGACAATCAGGTTTTTTAGCTGTTCTAATCAAATCCTCTCTTCCATTTCACATTTTGGGGAGCAGCAGAACTTGAGGTTCAGTTTCCTCTGTCAATCTGTAAGTATATAGCCCTAGCAGTTAAAAGTAACCAGATATTCTTCAGTACTCAGTATTTTGATCACAACTAAGGGAAAAGATTTCCGTTCTGTACTTTTACAGGAGAGAACTGAAATGGGATGAGCAGGGGGAGGGATCTTTAAATTTTTTAAAAAAATATTGTATTGATTTTTCACAGAGAGGAAGGGAGAGGGATAGAGAGCCAGAAGCATTGATGAGTGAGAAACACCGATCAGCTGCTTCGTGCACACTCCCTATTGGGGATGTTGCCCGCAACCAAGGTACATGCCCTTGACCGGAATCGAACCTGGGACCCTTGAGTCCGCAGGCTGACACTCTGTCCACTGAGCCAAACCGGTTAGGGCTAAATATTTTGCTAAGAAAAATTTTCTACCATAAGAGGGGGGAAAGGCTCCACTTATCTGCTGGAGGTGTGAGCAGAACAACAGCGCCACCTGCCACTCACAGCAGGTATTTTCGTGTCAGTGCTCCGCCATGATAACACGAAAGGGCTCGCCCTGGGGAGGAAGGGAGGAGAGGATGACTGAAGTTGTTTGTAGAACTGTTCTTGCTGAGGTTGGGGCAGTACTTTCTGAATGTTGCTTTTTGGGGATCTAGCAAATAAACCCGTTGTTAAAACTGGATCAGAGAATTCTGTTGTCACATTTTGAAATACTCGGTTAGACCTGTGTCCTGAGGGCAGAGGTTTCCTCACTGGGATTGGCATTGATGCTTCTCTCCGGAGACAGATATATAAAATTTCTAATGGCCATGGAGGTGCAGCTGGCCTCATGTGACTTCACCACAGCACCTGGCCCACTTTGCTTCTTCGTGGTACCTGCGTGGGTCCTTATGGTCCCTTGAGTTTGTGACCCCTGGTGTAACACACCTAATGCCTTAATGGGATTGCTGAGCTTCAGAATTTGAATCTTGAGGATAATGATGCATATAGGTATGCTTTTCTGGAAAGTACTAGTTACTCTGAACTCACGGTCTCTTGGACGTACGCTGTGCCTCAGTTTGGAAAGAAGTGTCACACACCTGGTACAGTCTCTTGCACGTAGCCCTCTATATTTTTATTGAGTAAAATATGATCCCTGGTGCCATGTGTCAGAGAAGTCATTCGTTTCCTTTAAAAAGTGGGTGACACCAAGAAGGTTGAGAATGAAGGTAAAAATTCCAAGTTTTCACAGTATCCTGGGGAATGCTGGTCTGAAGACGACCTATAATGACTGGCATCCTGTTCTCATCTCTTCTCCAAGGCACAATATATTTTGCCTTCAAAGAGCTAATACTATCTGGTACATCTACTCTACCCGTAATGATGGCATCAGTATAGAAACGCTTTAAAAGCTCAAAGGAAAGGGGCTCGTGCTGTCAGATTTAGTTCTGGCTCTACCACTAAGCAACCATGAAGTCATGAAATGGAACAAGTTTCTTTCCAAGTCAATGTTACATAATAAATATGCATTTCTAGGTAGAAGTGATCCTAAGCATATTTTTAACACCCTTGGGCATGAATAGTAGAGTTCCCCGATAAAGAACTGTTGCCCTCAATTTTCATTGGAAGAACAGAATAAATTGCATTATGCATCCAAAGATTTAATTGAAAGGTAATATATGACCATGGTGGCTATGAGAGAAGCATAAGGAATGTGAAAGTCCATGCGACTTCAAAGAATAAGCACAGACTAATCTTCTAAGTTAGTAAAATGATTAACTTGTGGCTCCTGTGTGGTCTTGCCACAAACCTGATTTCACCTCTAACCTCCACCCTAAGGGTAGGAATTTGCATTGAGAAGCTCAGTAAAGGGTTAAGGAGCCAGAGTGGTTGTGCCTAAATGGCCAGCTCAAGATGCCAATTTGGGTGCAGTGAACTGGTGTTAGTGATTTACTCCATTAAACCGTGCCCCTTTGGGGCAATGCAAATTGAGGCAATATAACTGATTCTAGCTTAGTCATGGTGCATGGACTGGGTAAAAGGTCATTACCACCTTCTTGTCAGTGATTGGTCCAAAAATGGGCATGTGACTCGGTTCTTGGGGAGGAGACAAATACAGGATTACCAGCATTTCTAGAATAATTCTTTCTCACTATTGGAAGCCATTCTTTTTGGTCTTGTATTGAATATGAACAAGAAAACATGGAAACCTGGATTGCTGCTGGGAGAGGGAACCAGCCATGGAATAAGACAAAAAGTCAATAGGGTAAAGAGAAAGAAAAAAATCTGATATCACCGAGTCTCCTGCCCACAAACCATGCTACCTCTTGACTTACATAAGATATTTCTGTAGTGTTTAAGCCTAATGGATGTGCATGGTGAGGTGCCTCCTAAGTGACCTGGAGGGCAGGCATCTGTTTTCTGCTAGTTTATTCCCTGCACTGTAGATCTCAGGCTTCAAAATGCATTAAATCATATGAGGAACATGTTAAAATCCAGGACCCACCACAACACTGATTCTATAGGTGACCAGAAGTTCTTCATTTGTAACAACCCAGGTGACTGATGCCGAGGACAGCAGACACCCACTATCCATTTCCCATTCTTTACTAAAAACAGTAGGTTGTGTTAGGGTTGGCAAGGTGAGGTGCCAGTTAAAGTTCATTTAATAGGTGTGGGCATGTGACCGTGCTTCCCTCAGTGGGGTCCCTTCCTGACTAAAAGGCAAGGCCTCCTACAGAGAAAGCTGCTTGTCTGACTGAAACGCCCACCGGATGCCTGGAGTGACCGATGATTTGCCATCTGAGAAAGTTACTGGCCAAGAATGGAGGAGAAGGCTGCAAGGAGCCTGGATCCATGCTTATTCCTCAAGCCACAGCACCAGCCCTGTTCTGCCTGCTGCCAGGTATCTGGTTACATCAGAAAGATGAAGCCACATAGGTTTCTGTAATGTGCAGCTGCATCCATATCTGCTGACACGAGTGCTCCATAGCCACTCTGAGAAATACTGCCCTACATGCTCGGTGTCCAGAAAGTTCTTCATAAATGGTTATGCTTGACTTTTTCTCTTATGTTTCTTTCTATTATGATTTTCCCTAGAGTCGAGATTCTTGCATTCTTTCAAAGTTTTGTTGAAATGAAAAAGACAATGGAATCTAATAAGTACATCATGAAAATCAACTTTATTTGACTTTTAAAAATAAAATGAAAATAGTATCAAACAGTACAATGCAAGGTAAGATTGTTAACTTCTCAACTTTGCTTTCAGTAACTAAGATTATGGAACATAGATCTCTTTTTCAAGAGTTACTAAATTGGGGAGGGGACAATAACTTTGGAAAATGTTATGGGAGCACTACTTATAGCAGTATCACAAATCAGAGTTTAGATTCTGTGCTTTAGATAGTAATATATTGTACAGTGCTTTTAATAATTTGTAAAACACTGTAACGTGCTCTCAGCTGGAGCAGGGTTCCGTTTGGTGGGCCATGAGTCTTGAGACAATCTTAACCTGAAAAATTTTTGAACCACTCAGGTTCAAAATGCAACTACTTAAAAATGGAGCTTTTGCAACAGCCCATCAATTGCTTATAAAATCAATGCAGCAATAAATTGTTTCAGCAACTTCTAAGTAAACTTCTCATCAGATGACCCTTCCGCACGTGAGCCAGGGTATTGACTCAGTCTGAAACCTCACTTCTCATATCGTGTTGGCACCATTAGTGTCCTTTTCTATAATGAGATCCAGTGTCCACCTACAAAAGAAAGTCAAAAGTAAAATATTAGACTTGTGTGCATTTCAGAAAAAAACTAATCAACTTAAGCACAACCAGAAAGCTTACGAAAAGTTTCCATTTTATTATCTGGAACCTTCCCTCCAAGGACTTGGAGTGATACATTGTCAGTAAGTACATGTACATCTCTATACCATCCAACCTCAGCTTGTAAAGAGATACTACATTAATTCAATTATAGTTGTCGATCTCTCTTTTTTTAAAAAAAAATATATTTTATTGATTTTTTACAGAGAGGAAGGGAGAGAGACAGAGAGCTAGAAACATCGATGAGAGAGAAACATCGATCAGCTGCCTCCTGCACATCTCCCACTGGGGATGTGCCCGCAACCCAGGTACATGTCCCCGACCGGAATCGAACCCGGGACCTTTCAGTCCGCAGGCCGACGCTCTATCCACTGAGCCAAACCGGCCTTGGGCAGTAGTCGATCTCTTAAGGAAAAGAGGAATATCAGAAGCATTGAATTCCAATTAACATGGTGACTGATTATAGGGTACAGGAAACTTTTTCCTAAATCAGAATGAGAATTTTTTAAAATAATGGAGGTGGACCAAAACTGTGACAAATGAGGAACTCAATTACTTGGCTCCCGGTTAGGTTTTCCATTTGTGAAATAGGGTTTCTATAAGAAAGAGGAGAGGATGACGCCAGGCTGACTGCCTAAAAAGAACTACGTTGCTTTGTTTAAAAGGACTATTAACCATAAGTTTTGTCAATGCAACTTTCTGTCCCCAAACAAACACACTGCAAACTACCTGGGTTGTCAGAAATGGCAATGGCAGGACCAGAACTTCTTAGGGTAGCTGTCCGGTTGGGATATGGTGGGCTTGAAGCTGCATTTGTACAGCTCACCGTATTCAAGGGCATGTTTATTTGGCACCATCTTTGACACCATTACTGCCGATTTCTGCATTGGCCGAGTGCCCTATTGTTTTGTCAGAGCAGCCTTCCTTTCCTCTCAACAGTGGGCTCGTGCCCAAATGAGCTTTGTTAGGTGCCTAACAGAGACCCCTTGAGTAATGTGGCTACCCTCCTCCCCACCAGACCGGCCTCTGTCTGTCCTGGCCCAGTGTGAGCAGCCCTCTCCCTCCCCAACTCTAGGCACGACTTCCAGCACATCTTGAACTTTTCTAAATTAGCCCTGATTGCTGAGGAAAGTAGGAAAAGATGCTGGGGCCAAACGTAAGTAACTCTAATAAAATGTTTTGGGGTCTCTTATCTTAAAAATTCATGCAAATTTGTCATCCTATTCCAGAATATGTTTGTTTTCATATAAAAATGTTTTAAATAATCTAACAGTGAAATGAGTTAGCTTTTTCTTTTAAAAGATCACCAAATAAAATTGACACTCTAGGAAGGTACCCATGATCAGCTGTGGCCCCATGTGTCCCCAGCACAGCATCTACACATCCATGGGAAAGGCACACTCCAAAGGAGGAGCATCTATACTTAGATGTTAATGGCACTTCCCGCCCCTAATCCCAGAAACCTCTACTTTTGAACTAAATATCAGGGGAAGGGGGTGGAGGGTGGAAAGTGGGAAAGGTGGCGGGGGGCGGGGGGAGGAACGGGGCAAAATGGCAGCTTCTAAAAATAATCTATAATTTTAATTATTAATTAACTCAGGTGAGCTTGATCCAGTATTTTCCAATTCAGTGAGTTTCCACTAAGAGTCTCTTTTTCACCACCTATATTTTGCTATTTGACTTCAGCTGTGTAGTTTCATATTCACACTAAGAAAAGTCTGACTCAAGTACCAAGTTTATTACCTCATCTTTTCTCTTCCAGGTTTGATCTCTGCTGGTCACTTGAGGACCAGTGTTGACTGAGCCTGTTCAAACACATGCATCAAACAAAAATTAAATCCGGAGTTTAAGAATAAAAGTAGCAGAAGAATATTTTAAAATACCAATTTGCTTTCTCCCTCTAGGTCTCCCTTTCCCTTCCCTTTTAAATGGGCTCTTCCTTCCCGCAGGGAGGTTTGTTAATAGGTTCCCAAAAGTCCAATAGGGGACTGAGAAACTCAAATGACAGCAGGCACGTCACACACGTGATTAAAGTGGGCTGGATAGAAGACAAGAGGGAGCGGTGTGGACAGCACCTGCTTCCCCAGTGGGAGCCAGCTGGTACTCAGCTCTGATGGTTGCCACATACAGAAATGGGGACTGAGTGTTGGCAGATGTTCTGATATTTTCAAGAGAAGCTCAAAATCTGGATTTTTTTTTAATGTGAAATTTCTGGATGTTTGTACTTGGCAACTAATTTTAAAATTGTAAAAGAAAACGTGTGCAGGTCAAATGCAGTGTACCAGCTGCATCAGTCCACGGGCTTAGCATATGTGACTTCTGTCTCAAACTCATTGGGGAATACAGAATGATATATTTGTATCTGGAATCATTCAAGGAAGGAGAGAGGCCTGCAGGCCCCGGAAGGATAGGGACCTATTTCCATGTCATATCTCTAACTCAACAGCTCTCAGGGTGTCCTGAGGCTTGCCATACACCACTGTGTCCCATGAGTAATGTAGAGCAGCTGAGCTAGAGACCAAAGGATGCAGTAATGGTCATCTCAGTGTTAGCCAGCTTGGGCAGGAGCAGAGGGAGCTCCCAAAATCAGATGCTGCATATAACCCCAGAACAGGGCATGGAAGGTGAGCCCTAAGAATGTCTGAGTTGAACTTGCTTCTAGGGGAGAAGTGAAATTATATGTTGAATGTCTGTCTCTCCTCCCCACAGGGGTAGACACCTTGTTTGGCTCACTCACCGACTAGTGCCTGGCACAGTGACCAGCACACACTGGGGTTGCATTTTATAAGAATTTTGCAAATGAGAAATAATGAGATATAAACTAATAGAATGTCACTTTCAGCACACAATTTAAGTCATATATACCGCCCACCCCCCAATTAACAATTCATTAACAATTGCATCATGTCTAAGTTAGCAGGGTCACACGAATTGTGAACACTGGAAATGGTGCTAAGTAGAGGAGTAAATTCAGGAGGACTCTTCAAGCTGGGGCAGCTGGGACAATGATTATGGGGCTTTGTAAGGGGGTGGGGAATGCTGAGCATTGAATGAAATATCTTGAATGTATTTTCTCTAGAGCAAGGCCTTCCTAGCTAGTCTTTTACTGCTTAGTACCGGGATACATAAAATTGGGTACTAATACCCATTCAGTGACTGTTGTTACTTAGTGACTATCAAAGTACACCTCAAAGCAAGTTATCTGAGTTGTGGCAGTGACCATGGTTTGTAATTCTCAATGGAGATGGATAAGGTCCCAAATTCCCTTAGGTTGTTGGGAGCAAACCAGCTCCCCACACCAGGGGCCACTGAAACCTTCCCCATGCCCATTCTTCCCCAGAGGTGTTGTGTGGCTCCAGCTTCCCAGGGCAGAGTGAAACATAAAAGCTGCTCCCCGCACCTAGCAAGGGTTTGAAGGGAAGGTCATAGAGCAGAGGAGCCACCTGATTTCAGCGTCTAGAAGTCTGATGTGTGCCCTCCCAGAAGCAATGTGGCTGTAAGGGGGGGCCCAAGAATGGGGGTTGATGATAAACCCACACAATACCCTCAACTCATTTACATTTATCAAAATTCCTTCCCAATGCTTTTCCAACCACTAAAGGGATACCCTTTACCTGTGATCTTGGAATCACTGGAAACTTTGACAGGCTCAGTTGCTTGGATAATCAGTAGCTTGCTTAAATCTGAAGTTCCCTGAACCTAAAGGAGAAAAGTCCAAATTAGTCAAAAGTGCATTCTTTGATCTCTAACCAGGCTGCTTCCTAAACTTCCCAAAGAATATTAGAAATAAGCCAAAACCTAGAACTGGGCCTTCAACCTAAACTCTCATTTCAAATCCTCTTTAACATTGCTTCAAAAAGCCTTGTACCAGCAAATTATTTTTTGCATATTTATAGACATCAGGAATTTTCTGCACATTACTTGTAACTGGACTGGAAATTCTCAGTTTAAAACAGAAAACCCATAATCCACTGAGTTACTTTTACTCCTTTGAAATACAGGGCTCAGGACCCAGCCTTCCCACATGGCAGGATGGTCTTCTTAGAGTTTTTGCCCATAAAATCTGCCCTCTCGGAATGCAAGTAGTGGAAAAGTAACAATAACTATCATTTCTAGGGAGAACCAAGATGGCGGTGTAGGCAAATGCCTGTACTCGCGGCATCCCACAACCACATCAAAATTACAACTAAAATACAGAACTACCATCATCCAGAACCGCCGGAAAGCTGGCTGAATGGAAGGCCTACAACTAGAGAAGTAAAGAAGAAAGCGCACTGAGACTGGTAGGAGGTGCGGAGGTGCGGAGCGGCAGGTCCAGCACCCACGTGCCGCTTTTTTAATTGGGAGGGAGATTGCCTCTGCAGAGGCCGCCCATGAGGAGCAAGAGGTCCCAGCTCCACACCAGATGTCCAGCTCAGGGTCCCAGAGCTGGGGAAAGAAGTCCCTATGGGCTGTAAAATCCAGTGGGGATTGGGGCTCAGTGACACAGAGGCTGCTGGAGACGCAGCTGCTCCTCTTAAAAGGCCGGCACCACGAACTTAACTTACAAGCTCCCACTTCTCTGAGCTCCAGTGCTGGGTGAGGCTCTGGGGGACCCAGACACATACTAGGAGAAACCGGACTGTCTGGCATTGGGGCAGGAACTCGGGGCGGCTTTCTTCCAGATGGAGGTGCCTGCAGGGGTCATTGTTCCTGTGCTGGGACCTCCCTAGTTGCAGGGATGACTGTCAGCCATTTCTGTTTGCTCAGCCCTGGTGATTGATTCCCTGAGACCTCGCTCCACCCTGTTCCTTTCTCTGGGGAGGTACAGCCCCACACCAAGGCAGACAGCATGGTGAGCAGAGAGCAGGCTGATCCCAGCTCTTACCTGCCCCTCAATCACAGCCTTGTGTAGGGCACAAACTGCATGCAGTACACAGAAGTCCTGGGTATGTTTTGACCATTTTGTTAAGGGCAGGTGAGACCTGCAAAATCTTTCCAGGTTAAATTTATTTTTAAGGTGGTCAGTTGAGTATTAAAGCCACTTATGCAGCACTGTGGAATGCAAATGACTCTAGAAATGATCCTTCTTACCTGCTCACAGGTTTTAGATAAGATGCAAGGTGCAAGGAATGGTGCCTCTGTCTTTGTATCCATCACACTGCCATACACGACAATCACCAACTTCATGGTCGCCCAGTCAATAGTCATCTCGTTACAGTTTGATAAAGTGTCCACGTATGCCACATTGAGTGCCACACACCTCTGGAATGTTATGTCCTACAAAAAAAATTACAATTTTCTATAAGTCATACACAAGGTCATACACAATGACACAAGGTCTCAAAACGAGAAAATTCACCAGCAATACCGTCATAATATGGGACTTTAACACCCCACTGTCATCAATGGATAGATCTTCCACACGAAAAAATCAAAAAGGAGACAGCAATCTTAAACGACACACTAGATCATATGGATTTGATATTTACAGATTATTTCATCCCAAAGCAGCAGAATATACATTCTTCTCAAGTGCACATGGGATATTCTAAAAGGTAGATCACATATTAGGACACAAAAATAAGTCTTAACAAATTCAAGATTGAAATCATACCAAGCATCTTCTCAGATCACAATGGGATGAAACTAAAAATTAACCACAATAAAAAAAAAAAACACCTCAAAAAACATTCAAACACATGGAAGCTAAATAGCATACTATTGAACAATGAATGTGTTACCAATGAGATCAGGAAGAAAGCAAAAATTACCTGGAAACAAATGAAAATGAATACACAACAATGCAAAGTCCATGGTTACAGTGAAAGCAGTCCTGAGAGGGAAGTTCACAAGCCTTCCTCAAAAAAACAAGAAAAATCTCAAACAATCTACCCTATGACTAATTATAGGCCAACAAATTGGACAACCTGGGTAAAATGGAAAATTTCTAGAAACATACAATCTTTCAAAACTGAATCAGGAAGAAACAGAAAACTTGAATAGACCAATAACTAATGAAATTGAAGCAGTAATAAAAAGACTTCCAACAAACAAAAGTCTTAGACCAGATAGCTTCAAATCATAGGCAAATTTTGCCAAACATTCCAAAAGCACATATCCTTAAACTACTCCAAAAAATTCAAGAGGAGGGAAGACTTCTAGGCTCTTTTAACAAGCCATTCAATAAAATCTAGCACTGATTTATGATTAAAACTCTCAGCAAAGTGGGAATAGAGGGATCATACCTCAACATATTAAAGGCCATATATGAAAAACCTCCTGACAAAATCATACTCAACGGGCGAAAACTAAAAGTCTTTCTCTTAAGATCAGGAACAAGACAGGGGATGTCCACTTTCACCACTCTTATTCAACACAGTTCTGGAAGTTCTAGTCACAGTGATCAGACAAATAAAAGGCATCCAAATTGGAAAGAAGAAGTAAAACTCATTATTTGCATATGACATGATACACATAGAAAACATTAAAGATTCCACCAAAAAACTACTAGATCTAATAAATGAATTCTGAAAAGTAACAGGATACAAAATCAGTATCCAGAAATTGATGGCATTTTTATACACCAATAGTGAACTATTAGAAAGAGACTTAAACCCTTAATCACTGAGGCACCAAAAACATAAGAAAATTAACAAATATCTGGACTTTTGCAACCTGAGAACTGTTCAAATTCTGGAATCTAAACTTGTACTCTTGAAACTTATAGAGTCTTATTAATGAATGTCACCCCAGTACATTTAATTAAAATAAATAAGTAAATAAATTCTGGAATCTCCAAAAGAGAGATTCTTCTTTAGAAGATCAGACATAATTGTCCTCTCTGTCTTTGTCACAAAAATATGAAGTGCATTTTGTAAAAAACACAGTCAATCACTTATA